GAATAACTGCATTCACAACTTGGCAACTTTGTCAGTTCCACGGTAGCAAGAAGACAAACTGGTTTGTGGGCCAGTTTTTTTTGTCAATTTGGGCAAAAGGCCACAAGTTAGTCTGTGCTATGGCCATTAAGGAATAGTTTGACACATTTATCTGCTCTCTTTAAACAAGACAATACCACTCACATATCTGTACAGTAATACCTCATTTGTTTAATGAGTATAAATATCCAAGAGAAAAAATGTAAATCCTCAGGGATCCATTGCTTTGGGCAGGCTAGCTTTGGATCTCTGAGTCTAAATCTTGCCAATTGCAAATGAGTTTTAAACAATCCCTTTAAGATATTTCTTTAATGTTTCTTAAAGATGGTTTATGTCATTCTCTAATAAACTTAGTTTGTTCAAGCACATGTGAGCAGGACCTCACTACTGCAGCTCCATCCCTCAATCACTGCTGCACAGACTCTGACTCCCAATGCACAAATCGACATGTGTTCATAGCCCTGATATTTTGTCGTCATCTCTGGATAACGGGAGGTCATGGAGCCATGATGTCCATCTTTATATATAGTCTGTGGTAAGGACGATTGGGCAGAACCTACAAGACAAAGTGAGGAAAACTTTTAAAAGGACCAAAACCATGAGATTTATTAACACAACAAGACACAAAATAAAAACATAACACTGTTGAAAAAAGTCCCAGGCTGAGACGCGGCAACAACCATAAAACCTCTCGTTGGTAGCCTCTCTCCCTCTGGTCCTGGAACAGGAGATTTGAAGTGCCACAATTTCCAAGGCAAGTGCACATCATCGACAGGGTCAGGGCAAAGTGAAGACAAGAGAGGAACAGGGACAAAGAGCAGGAACACGTACAGCCATAACAGTCTCTGTTCATTATTAACAGTCCAACAGCAGCATAGAAGCCTAAAATAAATATCCGGATATCTTCCCATTTGTGACCTGCATCGTGCATTGTGTCACAAGTAGGCCTTAAGTGACCAGTCTAAAAGTAAAGCATCATGGGGCCAGACGAGACAGACGGGAAGGTGAAAGGCCAGGGATCATGTGGTGCTGAAGCCACGGACGGGAGGTGTTGATGCTAACAAATCCAGATTAATCCTGGAGAGCGATCTGGGTTCACACTGATGGTACGCCAGTCAAGTTTTTAGCTGAGACTGGTCTCCAGCCAGAATGATTATAGACATGCTGAGATGTTGTTCTTTGAGTACCTTGGCGTGATGCAGAGAGACGGACGGCTCGGAAAATCTCTCCAGACACAATGGAACATGGCCAAGGTGGAGCAGAGTGTTGCAGTGTGAACTGCTGGCAGGAGAACAGAGGAGAAGAGAAGACGGTTGTGAAACACCCAAACATTTTGTTTGGTCAGCTTGTGGCGCTGGGACGGAGGCCAGACTTCACTTCTGTGGAATTTGTGGAGAGAGACAGCAGTTTGAACGGAATTTAAAGGACATAAAGTCAACGGATATTAAAATATAAGGCAGACAAAGTCATTTCCTTCAACAACAACTGTTGTGTGATCACACCTTTCAGTCACGCTATAGAAACAATAAAGACAATGCAAATCTTTCTTACTCTGGAAAAAACAGTGGTACACATTCATCCGTGCTAAAAACATTTTTGTTACTTGATCTTTTATTCATGAAATCTTAACCACCAGCCTGGAAAAAATATTATTTATCAGAGGGAAACAAAGAGATACAAAGATTAGGAATAAAATATTTGAAATGAAAATAGAATAATTAGTTGGTTAATGTGAGTTTTTCACATGGCTCAGGCAAAAATTTAAACTGCTCAGAGGCACAGGACCACATGCAATACGTGACTTGGTTGCCTTGCCAGTGTGTTGCTCACATTAGGCACTAAATTACTTGTCAGCATTGTCTATATCCAGTAATCTGAGTCTCTACTGGAATTAATGTGTTATTAAATCTATCTAATAGACTAAATATTTTTTTTCTGACAACAGGAAATATTGTTTAAATGTGACCATATCTTCAGATTGATTTGTTTCTGTGATATTCTTTAATAAAATCTTATTTGACAACCACTAACACAGTGTTTTGTCTCTGTTTTAAAATTCACCCCACAACAAACATCCACCCACACAGTTGCACTCAATTGTTTTGCTTGATTAATCGCCCTCCTCCCGGGACTGTGTGGGCATGCACAGACTGTGTATCTCCCACTTGTTATTCTCACATATATAGTCAGGGCAAGAAAACATCTTTTGGCCTTTTTAAAAGTATGTAGGTGTGTCAGATTCTACACTGTTATAGGTGCAGCTAAAGGCAATGGAGCAATCATAAATATTATCTGTACCTTTCTATCTATGATTTATCAAAACTTCTGTGATAATAGGCAGTAAGAACATGAAATCTGGTAACTTCACAAAACTGGTATTTTATTTTATTTTTTACAGCAGAAATTTTGACTTAACATCGTCAAGATAATAATAAAATAAAAACATTTATAGGCTTTATTTTTATTGCGGTTTTCTATACAAAGTGACAAAGCACTTCACAAAAGAATTAAAATCAACAATAAAACAACAATTAAATTAAATTAATCAATTCACAGAGATTCACACTCTTTTATATTTTAAGAAGGGATTCAAAAGCAGATGAAACAAGTATAATCTCAACATTAGTTATTTTAGAGTTTGGGGGCCTATACTGCAAAGACATGTTGGCCTTTATTCACCAATGGAGCTCTGGGAACAATCAGAGGTTGATTATCAGCTGACCCAAGATGTTTGATTTAGTTTATTTCGCTGGTTTCACTTTACATTTTTCTCTCGATGTACGTCCACTCTGCATTAGCTCTCTCTCTTCATCCATCCATCCATCAATCATCAATCTATACCGCTTTCCCTTTTGGCGAAGGAAATAACCATAACAACTGGATTTTATTTTTATCGTCAGTCTGATTTATAATTCATTTGAAAAAAGGCTGAATGTTTCCTTTTCTTATTATAGTGATCAGTGCTGCCATACCAATAATTAAAGCAATTAAAGCAAATACTGGCCACCCACTTATGTACAAGGACAACAACTTTGCACACCCTTTTTAGTTCTTCCAACCCCACTTCCTGTCTGTCTCTGTCTACATCTCACCCACAAGCACATGTAATTAACCATGCGGTCAAGCTTGTCCCTGTGAGTTGAAGAAGGATAGTTTATCCAGGTATGAGAGGGCCTTGCATTTCACCAGGCCATAGTAGGTCTTGAACAGTGTGCAACTTCCGTCCTTCTGTTCCAGGTCTGCCCAAACTCTCTCTAGTTCATGACTCCCCATCTCTGCTGAGCTGAACAGGTAGTGGTAGCAGCAGGCATTGTAAGGGATGTGTTTTTCTCCTGAGAACCTGGCGCAGTGGGTCGGTACCACACCAGCCTTGTGAGCACAAAGGCCCACAAACACAGCAGCTCTCACAGGAGCGTGAACTGCCGCAGAGGCTACGTACACTTTTCGGACCACATCTTGGGACAGAACGTAAGCCGTCCCATCACAGTATTCAGGCAGGTACTTGTCAGGGTAGAGAACCGGGGGAAGGTAGCCAGGACTATTGGGGTCTCTATCAGGTGGGTCTTTCTGGATCACCCTACCTAGGTAAAGGTCGTCAGGGTGCCTGTGCAACCCGAGCAGGTAGCCTCCGATGGCTGGGAGATTGACAAACACAGAGTTCTCTGTGAGAAGGACAAATGGTGCCAGAGGACAGAAGGTGATGACCCAGCGAAGTGCCAGCACCGTCCTCTCTGTTGGGCCCCGGAGGGACGATTCAGCCACTTCATGACCCTGGACTATGTCCCCATAGTGGTCAGACTCTCTCATGACGGCCTCCTGTGCAGCAGAAGTCTGAGTAGATCCTACAAAGAACAGCACCTTCACAGGGAAGTCTTGGATGAGTGTTCGGTTGGCCCACGTCCTCCTGACTGCCTCTCGCTGGGTGACATTTGTTGGGGAGCTGAAAACTAGCGTGAGAAGGAAGAGGTCAGACTTCCTGCAGGCATCAGGGTTAGGGATGGGGTAGGCCTGGGACACGTTCTCCCTGGCATTGCTCAGGTCCAGTTTCCTCGCTCTCTCCCTCACATCAGCAACGATGCCATCAGTGTAGACAGCAGGTGAGGGCTGCAGGAGGTACTCCTCGACAAAGTCAGCCCCGAACAACAAGGCATGGAAGAGCAGCACGTTGAAGAGGAGGAAACACCACTGGTGGGTTCGCAGCTTGCACAGAAAGCACTGGCAGAAACAGACAGCGTATGAATGACCATGAATACAGACAGACAAACATAGATTAATATATATAAGCTGTTGACTCTGTACCTGCATGACACAGCCTTGTTGTTTTTCAGCTGTAGGTGACCAGAGGACCTGCTGTTGTCAGTGCTACAACAATACTGGCTGACAGACAAGGTTTCCTCTTTCATGAAACTCTAGCTGCAAGAAACTCTGCACCCTGAACCCCATGTTACAAACCTGATGAGGAGGAGAGGATCCTGCATCATACCCATACAACTTTAATGATGGCTAGAAGGAATAGCTGGATCACACCACACTCCTGTTAAGGATCACCACCAGACATGGTTTAAAACATATAGAAATATTGAAACCTCAAAATTAATCTGTCTGATTTGGGTTTTCTACATAAACTGTTCAATTAAAAAATATCCCTCATTGAAAAGTACAGCATCTATGTAAAATGTATTTGCTGTAAACACAATAAATAAATAAACTGATCAAAATTCTGTTATTATCTAACTTCTTAACATTGCATAATACAAGCATTGTAAAACTACATGATATTGCACAACATAATACAAGAGGGGCTCTTATGGTATATTGTTTTAGATGCAAGAAATGGTTTGTGAAATTCAATTGGCCATCTGTAAAAACCGTGCACCGTTAATAACAAAGAAATGCAGATACAAAGTAACTTATTGCTTTTTAAAGACCACGACACTCCACCTGTTTGTTAGGATGGAGTGTAGCTTCTCCCTCTGTCCAGCAGGTGGCAGTAAGGCGCCATGACGCTGGACGCTGACAGTTTACATTGCGGCGCCGAGGAAGTAGACGAGCCGGACGCTCCTCACAACAGACTGTTGTCGGTAGTTTCCCAGTCATGGCCGCCACTATAGACAGTTTACTGGAGGAGATCTCCGCTGTTGAAGACCCTATAGAAGAGCTGCAGGGTCTGAGAACAGCGCTGCTGTCTCTGCCTGTGAGCGCCCTGAGAGACGCAGTGAGCGGGACGCGCCTCGACGTCATTTTCTCTCTGTTAAACTCGAACCACAGGTCGGTCTGTCTCCCCGTGTCCTCTCCACGTTAATAAAGCGATGGCTGCCATCTGCTGAGTCAGTCTGGTGTCAGCGTGAGACACCAGCAGCTCCAGTTCAACCGGTAGTTCAGTTAGCTTGCTCCAAAAGGGCTGCGTTTGACCCGTGCTAGTCATTAGCATGCTAAGTGGCTACAGTGCTACAATGAAAACACTGCAGGTGTGAGGTGACATGTTTCTGTTATTTAGCCCTTTATTCAGAGTTATTAGCTCTAAACAGAAGCTGACTGTTCTATCCAATGTGCTCTGGAGGGTGTGCATGGCTAACACAGTGCAGGAATGAGCTTTTCAGACAGGCGACCATGTTTTTGGACAGTGCAGATGCAGAAGATCCAACATGGTGGAACACCCTCCTGTCAGAAAAGGCAAATCAGCACCTGTCATTGTCTTAATAGTCAGCTCAGATTTTCCTTCATCACCACAAATGAACGACCTTAATCTTGTGGGCTAGTAAAGATAATAAGTTAAGGCTGTAATCAAGCAAAACAAGTAATTGAATGATACCAACTAGTCCTGTAAAAAAGGATTGGATGGGATTGAAGTATCAAAATTACAGAGAGCTCACATCTCACAACACAACATGCTTTGTGAAGTTCCATCACCACTGACGAGTAACAGACTGCAGTATCTTCAAAGCCGTGAACTACAGCCAGGTTCACCACTTCTTTCGGTCCCCTGGAAACATTTCCGGTGTTTGTTTTTTTGTCATTTGTGGAGCATTGCTGTTTTGGTTGTGTTGTGTCTTTTTCAGCACATGTGTTTTCTGAATTTGATGTGCTGTGTTCACAGGGAGCAGGTCGAACTGTGCGTCGACATCCTTGAACGCGTCCTAATGGCACTCAGCCCTGAGCACCTGGCACAGAATTACAGAGTGGAGCTGCAAGCAGGTCTGAACCATCCCGATGAAAAAGTCAAGATACTTGCCTTGGCACAGGTAGGCTGCACGCACACATGCAGGCACACACAGAAAGACAAGCATAAGACATTGACCCAATCAAGTGTCCCCGTCTTTCTCGGGCAGATTGGCAGAATGATGGAGCACCCCGACGCTGTCACCAAAATCCTCAACAACCACGACATCCTTCGAGCGCTCATCCACTGCATTAGAGATGAGAAATTGGCTGTGGCAAAACAGGTGACGATTGAGGCCCTGACATTACCCAGATGAACTTTTAACGAATCTACAATGTGGTGGTGAAGTAACTGTGTTTTTTGTTTTGTTTTTCTTAGGCCATTCAGTCCCTTACTAAACTGAGTCACTCCAAGTCTGGATTAGACAAATTGTTCCACAGCGAGCTGCTGAATGTCATGAAGGAAGTGATGGCCACAAGTGACATTGTCAGATACAGATTATATGAGGTGCGTTCAGATGTGCGTCACTTTGGTTTGACGCTTAAGTGACAACCTGTAGAGTGTTTTAAATGAAATTTATTCTAAAGGAACCAGAAGAAGGTATGACTAATCGGCACAAGAAATCATGCCAGAGCGTGGGCAACACTGATGCATTTATTTTAATGTTTTAATGTATGACAAATGATTTCATAACTATGCGAGAGTGTTTAGTCACACTCACAGTTAAATGACGGCTGAACTTTCAATTCGCTCTCTCCACTGTTTTCATGAAACCATCCAGCAGTCATTTAGCAGACTCTGTAAACAGCTGAAATATATTGGCGACACTTACATGGCTGACTTGTTTTTTTTTTTTGCTGGTCGCAGCTGGTGGTGGAAATCGCATCTGTTTCTCCCATTTCTCTTGGTTACTGCGCCAGCAGCAGCCTCGTGTCTCAGCTCCTCAGTGAACTCACTGGAGATGACGTTTTGATCAGGTAATAAGATAAAACCTTAAAAGATGGTCTGTGAAAATAAATACTGTTGCATTTGCATTAGGTTGTTCTACCTTCAGCTTTCACAGCCACATCTTTAAATAGGTTTCTTCAGTCTTGTTCCACGCTATTAATCTCAGTCCATTTTAACTTCAAGTCAATGACACAAACAAAAAAATTACCACAGGATGCTTCACAGTCTGTGCATTATACATCAACATATGTCATTAGCCCCTCAAATCAGAAAAAGAAAAAAACACATTGCACATCCCATTATAAAAGGAAAATAATGAAGAAATCTAAAGAAGAGCAACGGAGGAGAAATCTCTCTTCCCCATAGACATGCATGCTAAAGATGTTCTGCGTATAGAAAGGAGTATTTCAAGGGACTTAGGGGGAGGCCAGGACCTGGGGGGGGGGTCTTCATGAAACCAATGGCCTGCTTTGCCTTCCCCTGAGTACTGAAACATTTTTTGTCCCTTTTCAACAGGGCCACAGCCATAGAGATGGTGACCAGTCTCGCCCACAGTCAGCATGGTCGGCGGTATCTGACCCAGCAGGGTATCATGGACAAGATCTCCAACATGATCAGAGGAGCAGAGACAGACCCCTTCTCCTCCCTCTACCTGCCTGGTGAGTCACTTTATAGAAGTCCACATAATTAATAGGCTGTATAATTATTATTATAATTATTTTTCATGCTTAGTTGTAGATGTGTAATATTACTGTACAGGAGTACACTAGGCGTAAAGAGAGATTTGGATTTTTGCATGTTTCACTTGGGAGAATTATAATAATAAAATCTTGTCAGCCTGTGAATCACAACAGAGAGGACTGCCACCTATGTGTACTTTTCTGTAAATAAGTACAAATACAAACTTTGTAACGTGACAATCTAGGCTAAATGTGCCTTAATCATGAAAACTTTAGGTGTCGTAGTAATATGTCACTCCTATAGGTTTGGTGAAGTTCTTTGGGAACTTGGCCATTACGGACAGTCCGCAGCAGGTTTGTGAAACCTACCCCGCCTTTCAGAACAAGGTGTTTGAGATGGCTCTGGACCCGGACCCTGCGATGATCGGGGTGGCTCTGGACACTTTGGGTTTACTCGGAGCGACTGTGGAGGGAAAGCAGGTCCTGCAGAAAACAGGTTAGCATTTGCTTAAAGCAAATGTCTTTGGATCTCGGCATTTTGTCTTAATTCTTTTGTGTGTTTTCAGGAGAAAAGTTCAGGACTGTGCTGTTAAGAATGAGTCAGCTCGCCAGCTCCGGAGCTACGGAGCTGAGAGTGCGCAGCTTGGATGCCATATCACAACTTCTCACTCTACAGGTGCTTCTGTGCAGCATGCGTCTTTTCTTATGTCTTATAGTTATCTTCAGGAATTAGAGATGGATCACTTTCTGAATCTTCAATCAGTGTTTCTTTTTTTTTGCAGCCAGAGCAGCAGACAGAAGATCTTTTGGCCCTGACAGAGTCCTGGTTCCACCTTTTGTCTAAACAGCCCATAGACATGATTCGCAGCATCAGCACCCAGCCGTTCCCAGAGCTGCACTGTGGGGCTCTGGGGATTTTTACTGTGAGTGTTGAGCTGAATCTAACACCTGTGTTTCCTCTTGTGTTACTGATCGAGGGATTTCTTTTAAAACAAGACAGCATCTGTGGATATTGAAAGATTTATCTTGTTATTTATGTGTGTGTGTGTGTTCCAGGCCATTGCCACTCAGCCGTGGGGTCAGAAGCTAATGATCAGCACTCCCGGATTCATGGAGTTCATTTTGGATCGTTCAACGGGTCAGACTAAGGAGGCCAAAGACGCTAAGTTTGAACTGGTGGGGTCACTCTTGTCTTTGTCGACTGCAGCAGAGATACTGGGCAGCCAGCATTACATCCGCCTGAAGACGTACCTCAGAGAGGGACCTTACTATGTTTCAGCTGTGGCCTCAGTCAGCACAGAAGGAGCAGACTGATTCACACATACTCAGAGACATTTCATGGGTTTCTATTTAATGCTAACAGGTAACAGAAAAGTGCCTGAATGAGCTAAACGTGGGTTGAAGACAAATTTGTCTTCTCTGCTTGCTTCTCTTATAGACAATAATCTAATTTTCCAGTTTTTCTGACATGATGTAAATTGAACCATGCCTCTCCTTTATTTTACTTCATGAGTAAATTTAGTATTTTTCAGGAAAGAAATAGTATCCTCAAAGTGAATGCAGAGAACAAGTGTAAGACAAGTACAAGTTTTCAAACTTAATTGTTCAGTGCTCTTAAACAAAAGGCAAGACTTTGCAAATATGTCACATTTGGCTTCAAATGTGCAATATACTTGAAAATGGGAAATACTACAAACTTAAGGGACAGTAATGTTCTGATATATACTATTGAAGGGGCACGCCACCAGTTTATATATCAGGTTTAGTTAATTTGTCTTTTGGAGTATTACACAGTCAGCGGTTTAATCTCATCAGTTTATTCTTGGTTTGGGGTAAGAGACTCCACATTTTGCAGGTGGTGGCATGTAGTTTGGAAGATCTGGATAATTTGACAATGGGTGGTTAATGAAAGATACAAGTGCTTTTTGAGAAATGTCGGATTTAGTGTTTTTGGAGCTTGACCTTTGTTGGAGACTACAAGTTCTGACTATTTTCTAAAAAATAGATTATTGCAGCAGTATAACTTTTAATACTCTTGACCCAAGACCAAATGTATATAGTGAACTAGTGTTGAACATTAAACCCAGAAAAAGAATGTTAACACATAGTTTACAGTGGGTCTCTTTACCGGCTACAGGAGCCTGACAAGATGCTACGCTTTACTGTTCACTATCCAGAGTCTTACACAAACAAATCATTGTACGCAGTATCTTTCTAATGCTACTGGACTCAACTGCCAACCACGCTCATCAAACCCCTGCTCTGCAAATTCTTCAGACACTCACTTACTTTTTTGTCAGAAATATTTTTGTTTACGAAACAGATTTTTTTTATTAAAGAAGATTCAGTCTGACAAGAAATGTGTGTTCTGGTTTTTCTGTTTTTTGCATAAATCATTTTACCGAACTGATTTCCATAAAATCTTGTGGACGAGTGATGCATGACCCACTGAAGAACCCACTGAATTTTGGACTGCATCTGGATTAACAGGTAGATCCAGGATTTTTTATCTTATTATCGTTATCATGGTCTTAACCATAGTGGAAACGCTCTGGGCGCCCTCCTAGTTTGAGATTCACTTGGTGTTCTCTGATCATCTCCACTAGAGACAATTCAACGCTGCCTCTCTGAGCCACTATGTCAGCTGTCATAATCTTAAAATCCAGTTTTACATAGTAATGGAGGAGGTGCTCAGATCCTTTCATTAAATAAAGTAATAAAACTACTCTGTCAATTGAATTCAAAATCTATTATCTTTTAAAAGCTCAAATTCAAATCCCTGATAATGGGACTGCTGAAATATTTCCTCATCCTACTGCATTCCACCACCCATGTGATGCTTTGAAACAGATTTCTCAACTTGAATCAATAAGAACATAATCATGTAGAACATTACATCTTAAATCCACCGTGGGATAATGTCACAGAGGAGACTTTCCTCCTGTCCGGCGGTAAAAAGACTTCCCACTCCAGTCAGAGCGTCTGACTCAATCCCGAACATCCATCAGCTGCCTCGTGTCACCGTCTCCCCACTGAATCATATCACCTCTCCCACGTCTCCTGGATACTTGCTACAGTTTGCGTCATCAAAAAAAATGCAGTCAGTCAATTTTTTCCTGATGCTTTTTCATTTTCCTGTTATTTTGTCTCTGGCACGTCCTCAAGCTTAATGGAGGTTGTGTGGTTTTGCATCCTTCTCGAATCTTTTATGGGTTTCATCTCTAATATTCAGTGTTAGTTAATGGCCTCCTCGTGAAGGATAGAATAACAACACATCTCTCTCATTTTTCTAAAGGTTCTGAAAAGATTGTTTTCATCTCCTCTGTGTGCAGCTCCGTATCCACCAATCTCTGTATGCGGTGCAGTCATCGATTTTCTGGCATCACACTAAAATACGAGCGGTAAGCTTTACCTCTTGTCCCCAGAGCTGTCTGCCTCTGGTCCATCTCTTTGTCTTTGGTAAGGTTAATATCTCCATGGACAAATTAAATTCAAACAAAGTTATTATACAAGTTTTGGGAGAACTTAATTCACCATTTACAAGGTTAATCATATCATTGGTTTGTTATTACATTTCAATTTAGAGATAATGTCTTTAGGCATAGATGAGGTAGACACATTTAATACAATGACTGATACAGATGTCTGAGAGTGAAATGTTGGGTTGTTCTTTTAATCAGGAGATTCATCAAGATCTATAAAAATCTGTACGCCAGAGATGTATCATTCATAAGCTCACATTCTATGTGAAGGAAATATTTCTTAATAGTTCTTATTTCCTCAGACAAACAAATCAACAAAACAGACTGATGTGAATAAATTAGATATTTTATCGAAGGCTGTTTTCTTTCCTAAAAATCCTACTTCCTGTGACACTGTTGTGAAAACAGACCAATTTAACATGCATATTGCATTCACTTAAGAAAAGAAAGTCATTTTCTGAAGTAGCGAGATACTTCTGAATCCTTATACTTTCCATCTTAACAAAGTCTTGAAGCGTCTGCACAAAGGTGACAAAAATACCTTCTATATCACAGGAAGGATGTAGAAAAAACATCACCATACACATTTGATAAAGAACATCGAAGCTCAGTACATAAATCATTGATGAGTTGATGCCTCTCCTGTTGCTCACAATCCCAGAGAAAGGAACTCTGTTTCCCAGAGTGTCGGAGGTGATCCAATGATGGTAATCTGGAAAGATTCAGTGTGAATCCTGATGGATTGCATCTCCTAATAATTTCAATGAGGAATCTGACCCCTCCTTTCTTCTAACAACTTATCAAATAAATCAAATAAGTAAAAGGTAAATTCTGTATCTTGTATTTATCACATTGTTGCATTTGACCTGTTAAGATGATAATGGTTTTGTGTCTTGTGCAAAAGTCTAAATGCAGGGGTTGAAAGTATTTACTCAATCATTTTACCTAATTAAAATGTCCCAAAGGTTCAGTGTGTAAGATTGAGGTGTAAACTTTATATTTACATAAGGAGCGGGTTCTCTCTACAGACGCCGACATGTTTTTTACAGGCGTCCAAACTGGACGAACTAAACACATTTTGAGTTTTTATGAAGGTTCTCCACAGGTTCTCCTTCATGTTTGGAAGGGGAGGGGTATTCAGCTGCAACATGCAACTTCACCACTAGATGTCACTAAATTCTACACACTGAACCTTTAATGCTGCTTTATATTTCAACAACATTTCAGAGGGAAATATATCTCTCACTTCACTACATTTATTTGAGAGCTTACTCATTACTTATCATGTACGTGTGTATGTCATGTCATGTTTGTATTCCCTGTATCATATGGTCATACAACAGTCCTGTAACCTTTTTTATCTTAGTGTTTATTCATCATATGGTTGAATTCTGCAGATTAGGCAAAATGTCTTAGTTTAAATGTGAATGTTCACATTTAAATGAAATATTTCCACACAAAAAACTGACTGAGACTTAGACCCTCCAACAGATGGTGCTAATCTTCATCCCTCCAGCAGGAGTTGGGTGATAATTCCTCAGTTATGTCATTAGGTGTATCCACCACCTCAGGAAGGAGAGCTGTCATCACCTCCCTGCTGCTGCTGCTGCTGCTGGATCTCATTCCTCACTACCTCATGGTCGCACTTAGTCTTTTCTGAAGAGTTTGGCAGTTTGTCACTTTACTCCATCATCTGCGTTGGGTTGACACAAACTCCTGCACACTTCCAACATCCACCTGGAGGGGTGAGAGGGGAGGAGGAGGAGGAGGAAGAGGAGGAGGAGGAGGAGGAGGAGGGGAGAGAAATAAACAAAGCAAACAAAAACAATAAAGCTTCTTTCTCTCCGGGGGTCCTCTCCTGGTTTGCCAGACCAGCCTCCGATGCAATTAACCCAGGAAGACGACTTCATCAAGGGGGACTCAACGCCGACCACCGCCGCTCAGCAGCAGCCCGACGGCAGCGCAGCATCTCTGGCCAACATGTGCAGCGAGTGTTACGTGAACCAGTCATTTGTGAACGATGATGGGACCGTGAACGAGCACAAGCCACGGTAAGAGCAGCACACACACACACACACACACACACACACACACACACACAGAGGAACAAGTCGGGAGGTAAAACTTCACATGTGCAGAATGATGAGGATGATGAGGATGATGATGAGGATGATGAGTAAGTTTGGATTTTCGATTTCCTTGCATCTCTCAAAGTTGTGTCCAGCTGAGACATTTAATGAATGAAACCTGTGAGAGGAGACAAGTCATCATCATGACAGTTAAATGTTTGTTATTAGCTGCAGCCCATGATCATAACCTTCCTTATTATATTTATCCAGAGCTCCATTTACCTGTATATATATATATATATATATATATATATATATATATATATATATTATACACTGTATATATACACTGTATATATCCCCTGTGTGCTCCTCCTGTCACCTGTCACCACTGTGTGTTCAGCTGTTGTGTGCTTGCTCTTTGTCTCAGCTGTCACTGTTACAGCCCTGATATAATCTGCTGCATTATTAACATTACAGCCAATGTAATGTAAATAATGGAGACTAAACCTCTTCCATAATTGGTCCTGTGTGTGTTCTTTGTAACATTTGTGTTACTTTTCAATGATAATGTTCATGTGGTGTCAAATATTAAGGTTTAGTTTATGTTTAGGTTAAGTTAAGTTTTAAGTTAATCTTTAGGATAAGTAGAATTAGGTTAGACAAGTAATTATGGTTCAGGTTAGAGTCTCCACAAAATCAATACAAGCCAATGTAATGTCCTCTGAAGTCATATAGATTTGACTGTGCGTGTGTGTTTGTGTGTGTGTGTCTGTGTGTGTGTGTGTGTGTCTGTGTATGACACGTCCATATGAGCTCTACAAACACTCATAAGTGGTTCTCTTTGCCGCTGGGATTTGTTTTGTTTAGTTTTGTCTAGGTTAGATGGATTTGGCTGCAAACCACATGGGAAACATACCCTTCATCTATTATGCAATAAGTTTGACAAGCTTTATGGAGGATTATGGGCAAACACACAGACACGGTGGGGGAGAGGAGAGGTGGTGAGATGGAGGGAGGATAAGAGGGAGGGATGGAGAGATTTTGGGGGCTTGAAGTCATAACTGCACAACATAACTACTTTTCAGATCATTAATAATTCATTGTAATCACCTTAATTTATATTACATGTGTAATATCTTAATATAAAAAGTAACTGCTGACTAGATCTATCACTAAATGAAGTAAATATTTAAACATGAAATGTAGTGGGCGCCCGAAAGCTCACCTGGTTGTGCGGGAGGCTTGTGCTTGTGTTGCAGGTTGGGCTCCGACCCTTTGCTGCATGTCTTCCCTGCTCTCTAAACTCTGTCCTACACTGCATGTCCTATACTCTCCATAACAAAAGGCTTGATGTCCAAAAATATCAAAAGGAGATAAATAAATGTAGTGGAATAGAAATAAAAAGTAGCAAAAAGATGAAATCCTAGTAAAGTTGCTCAAAACTGCACATGGTGTTTCAGATGGAAGGATGAGTTTCGTTGTCTTTGTGATTGTAGGATGAACGTCTCATCTTATAGAACAAGCTGCAGACTGGTTAAGAGGTTCATAACCAGGCCTGTCCCCAAAACTCAGAGCAGAGGATTTTCTAAATTGGGCTAAAACCCAAAATGTCTTAATTTCTTTCCTATTTGTCTGTCTGCATGGATGTATCAATGGACCACTCCATCCCATGTTTAATTTATTTGCTTCATCTCCTTTTCCCTGTTCACCTTTTTCCTTTTACTGTTGCCTGTTCTTCCAACTCCCTTCAGCTTTACCGTTCCTTCTCTTTTTCTCCCTTTCACTTCCCGTCTGCTCCTCTACTTCCCCCAGCTCTGCCCCAGCGCCACTCCAGACCAACAGCAAAAGCAGCGAGGTTATCTTAGACATTTCCACCCTCAGGATGGAGCAGCTGGAGAGCGAGGTGCCGCCGCTGCCACTGCGGTTCCGCTTCCGGGACCTGCTGCTCGGGGACCAGAGCTTCCAGAACGATGACAGGTAGGCAGCAGTGTGGATATGAAGGGAAACAGTGAGCAGGTTAGACAATGCTGTTTGACATGGTCAGAGACACATTGCATAAACTCATTAGAAGTTGTTCTAAAAGTTCAGGTATTAAAAGTGAGTGGGTGTCTTTTAAAATGCGTCTACATACCTCCAGGGAATTGCAGAGAAATCCCCTGGGTTTAAATCCCCTAGGTTTAAATCCCCTGCGTGGGAATTCCTTTATTAATCAACTGAGAGAAAATGAATCAGCAACTGTTTTGATACTTGATTAAAGTAAAAGTAATTTTAATACAAATATGCCAAAAGTTCACTTCTTCCATTGTGATCCTGTAAGCTGAGACAAAAACTTGAATCAAGGTAAAGAATGGGTAGATTAATCAGTCACTAAAATTGGAAATTGCAAATTTCCCACACTCATAAATATCAGTTCCCTAAATGTGCCTTTTTTTAAATGTTAAAAAAAACACAAAACTAAAAACAATTCCTGGATTCACCTGCTGTTTCGGATCCACATGCAAATTAGCTGGGTTCTTCCTTGACCCACACCTTCCACCAAGTTTTGTGGAAATCTGTTCAGTTTGCGATATTGCTCACAAACAATATTGCTCACAAACAAACAAACCAACCATCATTTAGAAGAAAAAAAATGAACTAAATGTCAACCACACCTGTTTGTACGCTTTATACATCCTGTGTTATTCAAGAAGCAGCAGCTTTTGCTTTTTTTTAAATGACATTTGACTTGATTTGCTTTATGAGGTTCATGCTGAAGGGATTATTTGACCTGATTAAACACTGTTTGAGAAACTGCACACAGCATTTAACTTGTCTAAACCTTCAACTTGCACAAAGAGTGGTTTGAGAGCAGGGTTCTCTCACCTGTTATACAGTGGAAGTGGTAAAAGAGGAAATGAAGCCAGACACCAGCATTTGGAGTGCTGCTGTCCATGGTGCTGAAAACAGTGTGGTTTGTGAAGCACAGTGAGTCTGAGGGGAAGTGAAGTAGGCTCAGTGTGTGTCTGAATGTAGGAAGTTTGAGTCTTCAGCCTCTTTTCCTCTCGATTCTCTCCTTTGAACTTGATATAAGAGGAGATCAGTGGCTGTCTTTTGAGACCTGCATAATTTTTTTTCTCCCTAGGATTCAAAACTTTGCCACAGCAGGGATCTAGAAAGTTTCTGCTTCTAAAGTCAAAAACAAAGAGTCAGAAAATAACTTGAAACAGAAAATCACGTGTCCCTTTTTTGTGATTGCTCAAGTTTTGCATCAGTTAGTTCATCACTCATTCGTGTTTTCTAAAAAGATATTTATTCAGAACAGTAATTGTGGATTCTGCCAAATGGACTTAAGGACCTAGAATGATCAAATGTAATGATAGATGTTATTACAGCAGCAGCATTCCATTGAGACTGCAGTGCTGTTTGTTATATTTGACGCATCTATTTAACAAGGAGGAACAAAAAGCGTTGCCTTGCCTCTTTCAGTCAAAGGTGACCTTTACCCAGTTGTCCTTGCAACAGCCACTGTTTCTCCCTGCCCACAGTTTCATCTTCTATTCACACTATCATAATCATTTCTCTGTTATTGTTGCTACAAAAGAACTCATCTTCTGTCTGCTGCAGATAGTCCCGCTGGAGGCGACTCATGCCTCAGGTTTAGATTTTCAGTGGTTGGACTCCAGGCTTGTGTTCAGCAGCAGTCGATGAACTCCCTAATGTCACTGCTCAGAGCTCATCCATCACTCAAAGGTTCCTTTCTCAGAAGCAGACATGCAGAAGAAGCACACAAATGCATCAGAGCACAATATCGACAAAATATTAACTTCCTGTGTGCAGATGTGTCTCTCTCTCGCTGTCTTTTTTATTCCTTAGCTTGAATTCCTGTCTTTGCTGATCAGTTTCCTGTCTCACATTATTTCCATTTCAAACTGGATTGGCATTTGGAGAGCACATTCCAGTTCTTTTGATATGGCAGATTTTCATCAAGAGCCATGAAATATTCTTTAGGAAAACAGAATGTTTAACTCTTAAATTATAACTTAAATTATATATTTATTGTTATGGTCTTAGTCTGTAAATATATCTATTCTTGGAGCTTGAGCAACTGTAACAAAACCTAATTTGCCCCAGGTATCAAAAGAGAATTTCGGCTTCTGATTAAAGAAAGTGAAGAAAACAATGCTTGGGGCTGCACCAAGATTTAATGGGTTGTTCCCTGACCCACACTGCATCACTCCGCCAAGTTTCCATGAAATCTCTTTAGTTGTTTTTAAACAATCAACAAAAAACATAACCTCCCTGCATGGCAGAGGTAAAGAAAACCTGCAGTATCCCATTTAAGTTCTAGTCTTTAGGAGCTCAACTTTGCAGTGTATAAATGCATAAATGAAAATGGCACATAGGTAGAAGTCATGGTATATAAGGGTCTTCACATGGGAAAGCCACACTGAGTGGCTGCACCAGTGTGGGCGAAGGGGCTTCGAGTGGAATTGCCTCTTTCCGGTATTTTTCAACAGCAGTGACTCATGGAGGAGGTCATCTATAAATTACCACTTCAGACTCTTCAAATTTAGAGATGACAAAGAGGTGGGAGGGAGAGGAGGGAGACAGAAACAGAGCAGGGCTTCCTATATTGTTCTTGACTTTTCTTTCTTCTGCGTTTTCCACTCAAAAAAAAAAAAGCATCTGTCGCTCAGTTTCTGTCGCTCTGTCACTCATGATGCCAAAACCTCCACATCAGCAGAGCACAACAGAAAGACATGTGTCTGGGCTTTATGGGAAGACACATGAATGCATTAAGAGGACAGTCAGTGTTTATCTGATTCATGTGATCATCCCTCCAGTTATATGTCACAGTGAATGTTTACAGCTTTGTGAGGAGCTGCAGTGCTGCTGGAGCTGCAGCATCACTTCGGGTTATTCCTGTCATAGCAATGTTGCTGTGGCAACAGGCCCGCGCACAAAAGAGAGAGAAAGAGAAAGAGAGATTGATGTCTTTACATTTTTCAAATATATATATAAATATTCTAGTTGGCACTTTCTTTCTTTCTTTTTTTGAAAAAAATATCGATCCAACTCTATTTCGTCTCTCATTTATCATCTATATATTATTTCTTCTCCAATCAGATTTCCATCCAAAGCTCAAAATCAATTGATCTTCCTACAACCTCAGTTGGAGCTGTGTTATTTTAGAGCTGCGTGCACGCAGGGAGGTGCGCCGGTCAACGAGCCTCCATAGTCTTCTGTAGGAAGTGACCGGGCGCACGACGCAGCCACAGGTGTCCCTGCGTGCGCAATGGACCCGAGGACCGTCATCCCGACCTGGGCCAACCCGTCCGTGGGCACTTGGAGGTCGGAGGCTCTCGGTAGTGATGCCGGGCAGAGGTAGGGGCACATGGAGCATGAGACATAACAAGTGTTTCTCATGAGGAGTGAGCTCGACGCGCAGAGAGGGAGGCGACATGAGGAGAAGTTGGATGAAAACAACCTGCCGCGTCCGATCAGTTTAAGAAGCGCGCCCCCAAAACTGCTGAGGTCCGCAGAAATAACTGCGTGTCTATTTATTTTTAGGAAATTAATATTTATACATTTAATTCTTATAGGGCTGCAACTGGGCTCTAATTATGTCATTATCCTTCGGACTTATTATTTTCTCAGTAAAATGTATTTATTTTAAAATGTAAATGTATAACTTTTCATTTTTTGGTTTGTTTATTTTATCAACCTGTGAAAAACGGAGGGTAAAATCGATCTTAAATTTGTAAACACCATATCAAATTGATCGATGTCAACATTTTGTCTATTAATGGATCCATATTATCATTATTATTGTTATTATAGTTTGCTTTCAACTAATAATATTTTTATTATCGATTAACCTGACTTTTTAAAATCAGATTTTATTGATTAATGACTGGTGTCCAAAACCAAATCATACCAGGTTTACTGTCTGCAAAAGATGTTCACATTTTAGACGCTACAACCAGTGAATCGTTTTGCATTTTTGATTTAAAACGAATTAAAAAATAAATAGTTACAAACTCTTATGTTGATTGGTGAATAATTGTTCCAGCTCTAATTGCCTGCACTGTGTTATTAGCTGGGACTATGGCTGGAGTTTATTTCTCAACTACTTAATTAATCATCTGTTCTAATATCAGAGAATGATGTCAGCTGCAAGCGGTGAAACATCTTCAAGAACCTGAAGTGAGTCCAGTTGCCTTCATAGACCACAGCTCTTCACAGCATGAGCTGTATGACTGAGTGCAGGTGATCAGGCCTGTTCCTGGTTTAGAGCTTCAACACACTCACATGCACTTGCAGAAGTCGCTGAATTACAATAAGTTATCAAAGAAGATGTTATTACTCCCAGAGCTGCATCTCTTAAGCCTGAAACTCTGGTGTGATGCTGCTGTATGACTAATGTCAGAGCACTTCACAGTAATCGTGTGCACAACAAGAGCTGATTAACGACCATTACTTGTGCCATTGTGTGTGTGTGTGCGTGTGTGTGGGAGGAGGGGGTCAGACAGATAGTCGTACAGACAGAAAACTAACTCTCATATGTGACTGCCAGCTCTCAGTTGAAGACTCTTTACCTCCAAAGCTCATCTCTGCCCTGCTTCTGTCTCTCTGTGTTCTCTGCTTCATCTCTGAAAGGCTTTCTCCTTTTATTACTTCAGTGCACACATCAAATAGCTGTAACAGTGCACACCAAAAGATGTCAGAGCATCCAGCATCCCACACTGCCTCTTCCTTCCCACTGTGAACCTTTCAGATGAGCCAGGGCTCTGGATTTCTGCAGCAGGACCTGCAGCACATCCTCACAAGCGTTCCACTATGCGACACTCATACACCCATTTTGTAAATATTGTTCTTGTGTCCCAGAGCTCCTTTACTGTAAGAGTTGTGGTAACTGTCTCTCTCTCCTTATGTGCTCTGCTCCGTTGTTGTGCAGGTAATCTTATTTTATGTGAATGCAAGAAAGTTGTTCCCGACCGCTCAGTAAAAACCTGTTGTGTGTTCAGTTGTGGGTTTTCCTGTAGCCATAACTAATCAACATGTACATGATGAGGAATGCATGATGTATATTTATCATTTTACTGGCAGACTGAACCCCAATACGAAAGTCTGGGTTCACTTGTGTTGCAGAAAGTGTAAATATTAATATACTTTTCAATATAACCTACATATATACATACATTCCTACATAAACATATACGTGTGTGTGTGTGTGTATATATATATATAAGTATTGTGAGATGAAAAATATATATTTTTTAAAATATTTTTATTCATTTATTTTAATTGTTTTATTGATCAATTTAAAATGAAAAGTAAAGTTTGGAATTAATAGTAAAATAATGTATTCATCATTTTTATCATTTAATATTAATTCTGGGTGAAATCATCCTCTATACTATAACAGCTGTTTTTTCCACTCCTGTGGTTTAAGCTGCGTATTCCAAAGTAACCCTGTCTTGTAATTGGGAACAGAATCAGAGACGGATAATTACTCTCCTCAGGCTCATGATTAGAAGAACGGCATTATGAATATTCATGCTGGGTTAAAGGTGATACTTTATAAACTGCCTCTTGAAAGATACATCTGTGCTGCTTTTTCTTTTTGTGCTGCTGATCCTTGTATCATAGTTCCTGTTCTTCTCCTCTCTGTCAGGGTGCAGGTCGAGTTTTATGTTAATGAAAACACCTTCAAGGAGCAACTGAAGCTTTTCTTCATCAAAAACCAAAGATCGAGTAAGTAGATGCTGCAGGACAAATTCTCAGGTCCCTCAGTTTGGGTGTTGCAAATTTGAAATGTCCCATTGAATTAAAACACGATGAAAGCAATATAAACATATGTTTGATTAATGCAGTGGTTCTCAATCATTTTCATTTCAAGGACCCCTTCACTGACATAGATTAGACCACAGACCCTTGTTTGACAAGAGTTTTGGTTTTAGATGTTTTATTACAGGATGTGTATGAAATTAATTGTTTGTCGGGGACCCCCTGGAACCCCTCAAGGGCCCACTGAGTTCCATGACCTCACTGTTAGAATCTCTGGATTAATAAGACCCAGATACAGAGAACTGAGACTTGAGTTTCTTCTTCAGCAAAGTACCACTGTGCTGCACTTACTGTAAATCACAGTCATCTTATTGTTTCCTGAAATTATACATTTTTGGCAATCAGTCCAAAGAGAGATTAAGATTATTCAGAATAGATACCTCTTAATCCACATGATGTATCAGATTAAATGCATCTAAACCAGATATGGTAAACTCAACAAGTTGTGACCATTGTCTTTTTTCTCTTTGTTGTTGCTGTGGGTCTTTATTGTGTCTCCTCTTAACTGAGGGTCTTTATCTTGTATCATCCTCTTTGGAAAAATTTGAAATATTTAAGACAAAAATTCGTCCCCTCTACTTCAGGCCTCAGGATCCGAGTATTCAACTTCTCCCTGAAGCTGCTCACATGTCTGCTGTACATCATCAGAGTGGTCACGGACAACCCCGGTCAGGGCGCCAGCCACAGCGCGGGTCAGCAGAACGCTCCCAACGGCAACAACAAATGGTTTGTCTACACAGATGAAAACCTTCTCGTCAAATCAAGAAAACAAGAGCAATAAAACATTTGCAAAGTGCAAATACATTATTTAAAACACACAGGAAGAGGGGGCTGTGTATTATATGTTGTCGTCTTTCCTTAAAGGTGCTGTTCTGTTATCAGTCAGATGCATGTCAAGGTCAATCAGCTCCTTTGAGTGATTCAATGTTCTACTGGTTTACAGGGAGTCTTATGTGTTTGGATAAACGTTGACTTTCTGGTTGTATATGAAGTTAAATATAGTTTATGCTTTCATTTCAGATTTCTGATGAGTGAATTTTTTCACTGGTGTTTGGACAGCCTGGGAAGAGCAAAAGTGGGCTGATGAATAGATGAATTCTTAGACCAACCATTTTCTGCTTAAACTCTAGCAACCAAAACATCGTTAACATCTTTGTTTTGACCGGTCTAACACTGGTGACTCGTGAGCAAGAAGTTGTAAAATACTGGTGGAGTCATTGGGATGAATCTGAAAGATTAACACTGAAGAGCGTCTGTGCAGAAAACTTCACCACACATGTTCATTACATGGTCATAAAGTGTTCTCTTCTCCTTATCTTCATTACTACCCTGCAGCGTTGACTGCCAGTGGAACGGATCAGTGCAGGACAGAGAGATTAACTGGTAAGCAGCGGGATGTGTAATCAACAGAAAGGCTAATTGACAACCATTTTATTATGTTGCCTCTAGTAAAATCATTTTGTCTTACCCAATGTGCTGCACTCAATTTAAATGCAATTTAGTGTTTTCATTATGAGATACATGCTAAATATTTATATACCCAACAAAATGTATAAGAACTTGCAGGTTGGTGATCTGAACATCATATTTAGACTGTAGGCTTTTTTATATTTGATGGATGTATAAAAAGAGAAAGAAATGCATGTATCTGTTCTATGCTGTGTCTGACAGGGAGCTGATCTTCTGGGTGGACAGAAAGGTTCCTGTCTGGGCCATTCAAGTGAGTCCCAACAGAGTATAAAGAGGGAAAATATGAAATATACTATTGAAGTGAACAAATGTTCCAAGTCACAGATGTTTTACTTGTTAAAATAATATCAAAACTATGAGTTTCATTCTCATAAAATTGTTTCTGAAAAGCTTCCTATGTGAGATTATTCATTAATCCTTGTTTGGGTGCAGGTGATTGTGGCCATCATAAGTTTCTTGGAGACTATGTTACTCATGTATCTGAGCTACAAGGTAACACACACACACACACACACACACACACACAGGCATGATTAATACAGTCTGTATAATAAGTCTTTGAAAGCGTGTGAGATTGACAATCCAAGTGGTGTAATTATCCAAAGTTATTTGTCAAGGCTACATTAAGGACAGACTGTGACTGTAGTAATTACAGGATCTAGTGGAGGTGAAGTATTAGTTTCACATTGTTTCTCTGCAGTGACTCACTGTCTGACGTGTGCCTACTGAGTAACCTGTTTCTGATTTCAGGGAAACATTTGGGAGCAGATATTCCAGGTGTCCTTCCTTCTGGAGATGATCAACACAGTCCCCTTCATCATTACAGTAAGACTTTTTATCAGGACACCTTGAGCATTTGGAGCTAGAGTCCGTGCAGCAGTTATTCAGCAAATGAGCCACAGTACAAGGTCCTGCAGATACGCTCTCTTGACCAATCAGGAGTCAGTCTCAGCTGTCAATCATGATGTTTCACCCTGTTTCCATAGCATCAAATAACTAAATAAAAAAGAACATAATCTTATATACATTCTGAAATGTGAAAAAGAATTCTGGATCAGCCCCCTGATGTGTATCAGCACCAACATTTAATGGCTTCTTCCCTGACCCACACATCCTCCCATCAAGTTTCATAAAAATGTGTTCAGTTGCTTTTTGTATAATCTTGCTCACAAACAAAACAAACCAAAACAAGCGGGGGTGAAAACATCATCTCTTTGGTGGAGGTAAAAAGTATTGAAAGGCAGACCAGTTCTTTCTGGAAACAGTGTTGTATGAAAATGAATAATAGCAACGAGCTGCCGTGCCACCGTTTTGAATGGCCAGAGCATCTTTCAGCATGTATACAGTATATTCCAGAGTTGTGGAGAAGTGTCTGTGATTATGTGACTGACGCTCAGGAAGGTGTGAAATCAGTGACTTGATATTTTTCCCTCTCACCTCAGATCTTCTGGCCCTCCATACGGAACATCTTCATCCCGGTGTTCCTCAACTGCTGGCTCGCCAAATGTGCTCTGGAGAACATGATAGTGAGTTAAAAGCATTATCGTCTTAACGGTCCCTGCTAATGACCTTTTTTAATAAGTGTTTTAATCATTTAGTTAAGGCGAGACGCTTCCAGTCACACACTGCGCCAGTTCCTCTCTCATCTGCTGCTGCTATTGACAACAGAGTTGCTGCTGCGCTGGCTGTGCTCTGATTGTGTGCACCCTTCCACTGAGGGAATATTAACCCTCTCTGTCATCCATCATGCTCTGTGGTTCATTCTGTTATTGTGCAGCAAGCTGCGTCTCAAAGAGAGGAGATGTTTGTAATAAACAGCAAAGCTAATGATGTGAATGATTCCTGGTGGTAATAACTGAAACATTTGGTAGATCCATATTAAATGTCTGTATTTAATATGTATATTGAGTTGATGACGTATTTTGTTTGTAGAATGATGTGCACAGAGCCATCCAGAGGACCAACTCAGCCATGTTCAACCAGGTCCTTATTCTCATCTGCACTTTGCTCTGCCTGGTCTTCACTGGGTGAGGCTGCTGCTTCCATGATGTTGTGTGAAAGACATTAATCAGTTCAACCCTTTATTTGTTTCTTGTCTTATAGTTATAATATCAGGTGTATCTTATGTTTTTGTCTGATCGTCTCAAACAAAAGTTGTATTTTTTAAACTGCTATTTTATATATAATTAAATTGGAAACATGTATGATGGACTGTTTTTATGATAGTTTACAACTTGTTGCACAGTGTCAGTTAACAATAGATTCTGCTGTGGCATTTTATCCATTATTTATTTTCATAAAACCATCAAGAAAAATGGGAGATTTTTTGCAGAAAGAGCAGAGTAGATGCTATTAGAGCTTTATTTTTGGGGTCTTAACATTCCTTACAATTATTTAGTCCACACCTCAGGTCGACACCTCAGGAATCGATACAAACTTGAACAGAACAAATTGAACTGAATCTGACTTTTTTTTTTCTCCAAAGTACATTCAAGGACACTTTCATAAACTTCTTAGGAAATTATTTTTAAATAATGACCCTGTAAAATGAACTATTAACTATTTGCAGTGTGCACATGTATTGGCTGTGCAGCTTCATCTCTCTCATGGTTGAATATTACATTTTGTATTTCGGGGAAGGTACAAATAATTGCAACAAGCCAAGATTTAAATATCTATTGTCCAATCCTAATATTTTCAATTAATCTTCTCTCATTTATTAATCTGTAATTTGTCGATTTATCTGAATTACTTGAATGTTTTTAATAATAGTTACTCTTGATATATTCAGTTACTTCTGTTAGTGTGTCACAGTTTTATGTTGGTCCTCATATATGCTGTCTTTGTGTTTGTTTGTGTACTGTGTGTAATTTGCACAGCACATGTGGAATCCAGCACCTGGAGCGTGCCGGCAAGAACCTCTCCCTCTTCAACTCCTTCTACTTCTGCATCGTCACCTTCTCCACCGTGGGCTTCGGAGACGTCACCCCCCGCATATGGCCCTCCCAGCTGCTGGTGGTCATAATGATCTGTGTGGCGCTGGTGGTGCTGCCTCTTCAGGTATGGAAGACGCTGACATAACTTGAGATAACTTCTCAGTTGTTTGTTTTTTTAAGTTTAGCTCATCATGTTGTGTGTCAGTTCGAGGAGCTGATCTACCTGTGGATGGAGAGACAGAAGTCTGGAGGGAATTACAGCCGCCACAGGGCGCAGACAGAGAAGCATGTCGTACTGTGCGTCAGCACGCTCAAAATAGACCTGCTCATGGATTTTCTCAATGAGTTCTATGCTCATCCAAGACTGCAGGTACACAGATACACTATGACAGCAACAAACATACTTGCATTTATGAAATTTGTAGACAGATTTTGTGACATTAATGCATTCCACAGTTTATACTGATGTAATTGTTGTGTAATCTTAAAGGATTACTACGTGGTGATCCTGTGCCCAAGTGAAATGGATCTCCAGGTGCGGAGAGTTCTGCAGATCCCTCTGTGGTCGCAAAGAGTCATCTACCTGCAAGGATCAGTTCTCAAAGACCAGGATCTGCTGAGAGCCAAGTACGTAGCAGTAACGTGAAAAACCTCTGAATCAGGAGCTAAATGACTTACACCTACGACAAAGTATTTTAATAACTGTCGTGGTATTGAAACATTACACTGATTGGCCTAATGAGGGTGCTATAAGTAAGCATCAAGTGTTGAAACCTGACATCCCCACAATGCACTACAGTCTATGCTGAGTTCAATTCTTGATTAACCCAGACATTCATCTGTCTATTAAACAAATATTTCTTAAAAATAATTGGACTTTAGCACCTAAGATGCTCACATGCATGTTTTTATCTGTGCCAGCAAACCACTTTAATCCAGACTAAAATATCTAAACAACTATTGAATTGATTCTCATGGACTTGAGACAGAAATTCGTGGTCCACAGTGAATGAAGCCTTCTGACATTTGTGATCAACTGACTTTAGGAACACCAGCAGGTCAAACAATGCAATGATCCAGTGACATACTGTATATTTGTACATGTACAGGATGAATTAAGACCTAGTCCTGTTTCCTAGAGGAGTAACTCTCATGCCGATTCTCTGACTTTGTCCTCTGTGAGCTTTACATTTGTGGTTTTAAGTGAAATCTCTCAACAATTACATTCTCCACAGTCTCAGCTGCAATTTCAGTTTAGTGCAATTAGTGAATTTTAGTGAGTTTCTTTCATTGTTTGTAAACGGTTGAAGTATGTTGAATGCTCAGTAGAAATGTCAGCTCGTGTTGTGGAAATAGATGTTGATGAAGCGTTGATTAGTAGGACGTGAATATGTATTGTCCTTCCATTGCTTGGTATCTCCAGATATGCTTTCTCTTAGTAAATAGCCTTGTCAGAGCTATTGTTTGGTCTCATGCTCAGACGACAGTGTGATTATCCATTCAAGCGTTTTTTCAAACTCAGTTAATTAAACAGTTATGTTAACAGAACCGTTTTTCAACATCTCAGTAGAGAAGGCATGATCCATCCCACAATCATTTGATCATTTCATTTTTGTGAAAAAAAATTCTACAAATCTACTTATATATATCATACTTACTACTTATATACTTGTACTGGCCAAAAAGATGCTGCTTGTGGGAAATATAGGACCTAGAAACCCAGCAGGTTTTTAATTTCTGGTGCTTCGATTTGATCATCTATGTTTTTATATGCCCCCCACCCCTATGTACGTATGGGCTTTAAAGGTCCAGTGTGTAAGATTTAGGTGAAAGGGAACTATTGACAGATATTTAATGGAGAATAATCCTCATGATGTTTTCACTAGTTTATTTCACAAAATTCTACACACTGTACCTTTAAAGCAAAGACATAAGATCACATATCACAAAAACACAAAAAGTCCAGTTGAATGGAAATAAGCTGGGAACACCATACATCAAAATAAGTATTACTTTGTTGAAAATGTGTTTTGTAACCTAACTGTGTACATTGGCAGTTGGAGGTTGAGGTAATTAGAGGTAGACTGGGTGTGTGTCGAGCTTCCAGCCTGCGTCTGGCACCATATCATTTCCTCCCACACTTGTTTTGCATTCTGTGCTCTCCTGGCTGTGCTAAGATGCAAAAACAGTTCCACAGTCACGGCACATATACATTACATCACTGTGATCCTCATGTTTGTTTATATAGAAGTTTTCATTGAATTACAACAATTGTTGCTCATTTCCTATGACCAGTCATAAGTCATGCAACAGAGGCTTGGATTTTTTCTGCAGCTGTGTTTTGACTTTGTTCTATTATGTGTCAACTTGTGCAGGATGGATGATGCTGAGGCTTGTTTCATTCTAAGCAGTCGTAACGAGGTAGATCGCATGGCTGCGGTAAGAACAACAACCACTGAACCGAATTCTGAATTATTTGTTTACACAGACTCAACTCATTAATGCTGTCGGTTATGAAGCCAATTACTCATGAATTAAAGGAGATCCATTTGAAAATGCAAGAGAGCAGAAGCATGATCTTTGACTGTTTCCCCTCAGGACCATCAGACCATCCTGAGAGCCTGGGCCGTGAAGGACTTTGCTCCAAACTGTCCCCTGTATGTCCAAATACTCAAACCTGAGAATAAGTTCCATGTTAAATTTGCAGGTGAGACTTTCTAAACTGTCAGTGATATTTTGCATCCACATTTTAACACTCCATAAACAATAGGGATGAAATTGATATAACACTTATTTCTGCAATTTTAACGAAAAGTGAAACCAATGCAACGTCTTTATTCCCCCGAATGACCAGCAGAGGTCGACTCCACTGGTTGCAAAAAGAAGTCTGTTTCTATAGACGTCTTGGAGCCTTATTTGATTTTTAACTTGATTTATAGCATCAATAAACATTTTCCTATGGAGTTTATGTTCAAGTCTTCTTCAATAGAACTTGATGTGTATTTTATACATTTTGGTCCCATTAATCGTCAAAAACAGACGATGATGCACAGTATGAATTGGCGCGTGGATACAATGTGATCGAGTGACCTCACTGTCCAATGGGTGCAGGTCGCAAGTGTAAGGTGGACGTCCTTGAGCTGTCAGTCAGGTTACTCCTAGCTCCACAAAACTGACACGGCGATGGGAAAAATGCCAAACTCAAGGCTTCCAAATGACACTTCACAAACACGACATGATATGATGTGTTAGTTTGTGTGGGAAGGTCTATTTTTGATGTTTGGACTTTTTAGATCTCAGTTTAGCCAAATTGACTCGTAGCGTTCTAGCCTCATACTTTCGACCAGAAAACAAATAGATGTGTTTTCCAAATTGTCCAAATGTTTCACTTGTAGAACATCTTTAATCGTAGATCACGAACACCTCTTCTGATCTGCTTGTTTCTTCTGTTTTCAGATCATGTTGTGTGTGAGGAGGAGTTCAAATACGCCATGTTGGCTCTCAACTGTGTTTGTCCCGCCACCTCCACCTTGGTCACGCTCCTCGTCCACACCTCCCGTGGACGGTCAGTCATCCGGCGTAACCTCCTCAGGCTTTTTAATTTCTCTTTAGTTGTGATCACAAAGTTCTAATCTCTTCACACATTGATTTCTACTCATGTTCAGTACATACACATGAGCCAGAGCTTGCTTCCATCACACTGTCACAGAGCGGTGAATAAACCCAAGAAAAGAAAAGTCTGAGTTCATTGTGGATATCACCAGGAAGTAATCAGAAAGAGTGCATTAATGAAAAGAGAGAACAGGCGGCAGCCACATTGATTTTTTTTAGAACGTGTTCCCTGTAAAACTGTGTGAAAAGTAGACTTTTCACAGAATGCAAATGGATGACTTTTAAAAACTGATGTCAAAGACTGAGAGAAACAGAATCAATGGGTTTTAGCACTTACTGTGCTGCTGACTGTGTTCTTCAGAGAGTGAAGCCTTGTGCATCTTTATTAGACGAAGACCTACAGGTTTTCAGATTTCACTCATAAAGGTACATATGACGTATGTTGCAAATATGTGCATTTGTGTTGCATCACACGTGTGAGTGTACGAGATAAAAGACAAAGACATCTTATCATGGGGGGAGTTAGATGGAGAGTTTTAATTTTCCAAATATTTTCACCTTGCAAAGACTGCGTGTATATCAGCATAGGTGGGTAATTTCTAACACGTTTATCAGCTTGACTGATCTGTTGTGCTTTTGCTTGTTTTGTCTCTGAATGACTGCAGAGAAGGACAACAGTCTCCTGAGCAGTGGCAGAGGATGTACGGCTGTTGTTCCGGCAACGAGGTCTACCACATCCGACTGTGTGACAGCAAGTTCTTTGGAGAGTATAACGGCAAAAGCTTCACATATGCCTCCTTTCATGCTCACAAGAAGTGAGTTGACGCACGAGCTGAAGCATCTTTTCTCAGATGCTGTTTCACATTTGTGGACTTGGACCTGGTATCATCAAGTGCAGCTGCAATTTCACAGTTTGATATAATTTCCATTCATCTAAATCCATGGAAAACAAACCAGATCAAATATATTGATTATACCGTCTTGCTAAAAGTGACAACAGATACAGTATGTTTCAGATGTGTTTCCTGTTCTTGTCATTGTCATACAACACTTCAATGCTTTCGAGGTGCTGCAGGCGATAGACGGAGCCACACTAGCTGCTTTCCTGATTCTCCAGTCTTTATCAAACTAAGTTAATTCTTCCCAAGAAAGGCGAACTCCCAGAGAGTTAAACACGTCCTTTTAGTCTCAGGGATCAATTTCTAGCAATGAAGTGATGACACTTTTTTCCCTTTGATTTTTACCTGATGTCCAGGTATGGCGTGTGTCTGATTGGTATAAAGAGGGAAGACAACAAGAGCATCCTGCTGAACCCGGGCCCACGCCACATAATGGCTGCCACAGACACCTGCTACTACATCAACATCACCAAGGAGGAGAACTCAGCCTTCATCTTTAACCAGGAGGAGAGGAAGGGCCGACCCGCCGGGGGAATCTATGACGGGCCCTCGCAGCTTCCTGTGCACAGCATCATTGCTAGCATGGGTGAGAGAGGACAGTGTGATGAAATGGTGATGAATTCAATTAAACTGAGAAGATACTGGTTCATTAAGCTGAGGTGAATATGTTTTCCAGGCACTGTTGCCATGGATCTTCAGAATACGAGTCCACCTGACACCTCGGGTGGTAAACTGGTTCCACCCACAGTAAATGGTACAGGGGGCCGCCGGCCGAGCATCGCTCCGGTCCAGGAGCTCGCCGACTCCTCCTCAATCCTGCCGTGTGACCTCCTCGGTGACCAGTCAGAAGATGACTCAGTCTTCACAGATGAGAAAGACCAGTCATCTGCTGAGTAAGGATTCTGTTTCGTTAGAAATATATACTATATATATATATATATATATTGTATATCTTAAAAAGTTGAAAAACTCCTTGTCTCACAATGTTGAAGAGAGTGAAAAAAAAATCCTGGAGTTACCCCTGATCCATATTTACACAAAAATATTGTGTGATCTTTCCTGACCCATACTGCATCCATCTAACAAGTTTTGAACTCAGTGTTTGTCATGTTTAATGTTTTTTGGATTTGTTGCCAGGTGTGTGAAAGGTTATCCCCCCAACTCTCCGTACATCGGGAGCTCGCCCACCTTGTGCCATCTGTTGCCTGAAAAAGCCCCGTTCTGCTGCCTACGACTGGACCAGGTGGGCAGTCGCAGTCTCTCTAACTTAGTCACCCAGTTATTTATTGCCTCCATCATTCCTTATACTCTCTGTCCTTCACCTGATAAAAGCAAACCAAAAGGACCATTTGTTTTTCTCTCCTCTTGTGCAGGGCTGCAGGCACAACAGTTTTGAGGATGCTAAGGCGTATGGTTTTAAAAACAAACTCATCATTGTGTCTGCTGAGACTGCAGGGAACGGCCTCTATAACTTCATAGTGCCTCTCAGAGCTTATTACAGGCCCAGGAAAGAGCTCAACCCCATCGTCTTGCTGCTGGACAACCCGTGAGTTCATCTCAACAACTTTGCTCACATTGCTCCTTTCTTTCGCCCTTTCTTTTGTCTTTTCAACACCGCACAGTGGGAAATGTTATGCGCGCTAAGAGCTCACGTCAGCCGAGCACTTAGGCCAAGGCTGTGGAGGCGGGACTCCATTGTCCTTCCTGATGCTAGGTTACTGCTGCCACTCCAGCTGACGGTGTGTTTTAAGCAACAAAGAAAATAATTTAAAAAAATGCTGCTCTCTGTATCACAGACAGTCGCCATGGCAACACACTTTTCCTTGAACCTGAATATTATACAGTATATCGCTACGAGGGGAGAAAACGATGGAGAGAAGGACTTCTTTGGAGAACACCAACCAGGCTTTCATCGACAGCCCTGATGTGTTCCTTTTCAGCCCCCACATGCGAGCTCTCAGGACCCTCATAGAAAACACGCACATAACAATAAATGCTTCCTCCATGCCGTGCGCTCCCCCTCCCCTTCCATCACTATTGCACACACACACAAATACACCCACACACTCTGATGCTCAATTCAGGCACTGACGACAGCCTTGGGTCTCTAATCAGCAGGACGAGGCAGATGCATAAAGTAATGTTCTGTCAGAGGTGGTGTTGGAGGACAGGCAGCAATAAAGCGAAATCTCTCTGTGTGCTTAGCAACAGATGGACTCACCCCTCAAGACACACTAACTAGGGAGCTGCACTACTATAGAGTCTCCTGAGGCTGTGGTTCTCAGGCTCCTGTTTCACACCGGCTCATAGTAACCACACACAGCCATGAAGCAGCTGTAAATACGGCAGGTGTATTTACGAGGCCTGAAAACAGTCATGACTGTTCACTTGAAAGTGGCTAGAAGTCATTTTAGAAAACAACCTAGAGATTTTATATATCGACCAACATTTGCTTTACATGATGCAGATCACGTAGTTCATTCACTGATTTTTACATTTTCCCCATTCAGAACATATCTTCTAGTAACACACAAGAAACAATTATTTGTTTTTCAATAGTGTCAGGTAACGCGTGTCGATGATAATTTGAAAATATATCGTGCACCCATCACAGTGGACAGTGATTTATTTGTTACCTGACTATGTTGAGGACTTCACCCACCTTAGCAGCTTTGCCAGTAAAGACGATGCAGCACATGAGGAGATAAGAGCAAAGTTTAGGAAAGCACCCGGAGCATTTGCAAGACTCCAGCCCATCTGGCAGTCAAAGCAGTACAGCCTGAACACAGACAGAAAGCTGGCATAGTGAAAGGTGACACGAACAATGGATGCTTCATGAAATCTTTGTGAGGCCAGGACAGGCCCAGATGGAGGCAGATCGCTGATGCCTCATCCGCCTGAAGGAGCAACGAAGACTAACGAGAAGAAAGAAGAAAACTGAGCAGAAGAAAGAAATGCTAAATGTTCAGGGTTTATGATGATTTTGTTTCTCATATTTCAAGGTTTCCTCCAAGTAACTGACAAAGTTTATGTCCCTCATGAAAGCAGCCATTCAATCATAGTCATTTCATAAAAACAAATGTATTTTCTGACTTAATTTAAAACTCCATTTCATTGATGTATATGCTTCCTTTAGGCCAGATAATCACTTTCTGGAGGCCATCAGCTGTTTCCCTATGGTTTACTACATGGCTGGGACCATAGACAAGTAAGGCTGTCATACAAACTTCTGTTTTTGATCCATTTCCATTTCCTAATCTTATCATATACATTGTATAATTTACCATCTTGTATAAATCAAACAAACCTGTGTATTTCTGACATTTATTTCTTTTTGGATGCACAGTAAGCTCCTAGTAAGTTGGTGTCATAGGCTCTTACGCTCATTGTGTGTGTGTGTGTGTGTGTGTGTGTGTGTGTGTGTGTGTGTTTCAGTCTCGACAGCCTGCTGCAGTGTGGAATCATCTATGCAGATAATTTGGTTGTTGTGGATAAGGAGAGTACAATGAGTGCAGAGGAGGACTACATGGCTGATGCCAAAACTATCGTCAATGTGCAGACGATGTTCAGGTAACTCACGAAAAGTGATTGAAAATTATTCTGAAAGTCTGTAACAAATTTGAAGTCACGTCTTCTGACTCATCTTTTTCCTTTTCCTTGTTGCAGGTTGTTTCCCAGTCTCAGCATCATCACAGAGCTCACTCACCCGTCCAACATGAGATTCATGCAGTTCCGAGCGAAGGACTGCTATTCACTGGCTCTCTCCAAGCTGGAGAAGGTAAGAGGGCAGACGGCGTGAGTTGTGAATTTAAATGGCAAAGCGAGGAATATGAAAGATGTATTATGTGTCATGCCATTTAGAGACTTTTGAATGTTGTTGGTCTTTGCTCTGCTTTGTGTGTGTCAACAGAAAGAACGCGATAAAGGCTCTAACTTGGCCTTCATGTTCCGACTCCCCTTCGCTGCAGGCAGAGTGTTCAGTATCAGCATGCTGGACACGCTGCTCTATCAGGTGGGTGCACACCTACGACTGAGCATTTAGCCTCAGACGACTTTTCAAAAGTAGATAAAAGAGATGGATGTGTCTTAAGGCAGCAGAGGAACATGATCATCTGCAGAGACAGAGCAGCATCATAAGGCAAAAGTGCCCTCTAGTGTTCAGTCACGGGTTTATTCATGCACTCTGCGCTCAATGATTTCTCTGTGATTCCCTGTCAGTCTTTTGTGAAGGACTACATGATCCTTATTGCGAGGCTGCTGCTGGGACTGGACACCACTCCAGGATCAGGGTACCTCTGTGCTGTGAGTTCCATAGTCACAAGAGAGAAGAGAAGAACAAAAAAACAGTACCATGCTCATGTTACATAAACCAAGAGTGAATCTACGCATCTCTTGTTCCAGATGAAGGTGAACGAGGAGGATCTGTGGATCAGCACCTATGGCAGACTGTTTCAGAAACTCTGCTCCTCTAGTGCCGAAATTCCCATCGGGATCTATCGGACAGAATCACACATTTTCTCTTCGTCTGAGGTGAGATCTCAGAGAGAGGTTAAATATCAAACTTCCAAAAATATATTTTCATTTATTTGTCTATTAAGAAATAGTCTTGTAGTCTCAGATTTGCAGTAGAATATAAAACCAGACTGTGACTTGTACATTGCAGGGCTTTGAGATGAGAAATAATCTTGTACTCATGTAAAAGTATGAATGTATTAGTATTAAACTACACCTAATTTAAAAGCACTCATGCAACTTTCCCTTTTGAGAGGGATAAATATAATACTATATGGACAGCTGTGCTTATTTCAACATCTCTTTACTGCTCTGTAGATTATATACATTTGATTATATTTTATATTATGACTCCGTTAACTAGGATCAGATAGTGTAGTTTAGTGAAACTTAAGTTATTTTCCTCTGGTATAGTGTAGTTGAAATATTAAGCATCAGAAATTGTAAAGTAGTCAAGAGTAAAGTACATTCACCTCAACATTTTACTGAAGTACTGTAGGTGGGTACATTTATAATGCATTTATCTTCATTTCCACTCAATGACAATGTTAATATAACAAAAATGTAATACCTTATTTCCCTAAGGCCTGTAGCTGATGAGAATGGCACTTTACAGGAATTTAGTTAAACCGAAATACTGGAAATATTGAATTTTAACTGACTCATAGCACAAGATGAAAAGTTTATTTTAATTATCGACCAAACAAAACAATTTAAAGTCTCAGGTGTCAGTCAGTGTGGATGACTGCGAGGACACCAAGGACAGGGTGGACGAGGCTCGCAGCAACGACCAGTCCGATCACCCCCTGCTGAGGAAGAAGAGCATGCAGTGGGCCCGGAGGCTCAGTAAGAGAAGCGGCAAGTGGCAGGGGGTGAGCCGGGACTCGAGCAGGGACCACGCTCAGCGCATCGCCCAGCAGCGCCTCAACCTGTACAGACGGTCCGAGAGGGAGGAGCTGTCCGAGCTGGTCCGGAACCGCATGAGGCACCTGGGCCTCCCCACCTCTGGATATGGTGAGTGCAGACACACAACAGCCCCATGCACCCATCCTCTAATCCTTCATGTCTGTTTCTGCTGGAGAGTTTGACTGATTCTCATCTCTCTGCTGCTGGTAGAAGACCTTACTAATCTGACAGCCAGTGATGTCATGAACAGAGTCAATCTGGGCTACTTACAAGGTCAGTATCTGAGTCAGGATCATATGGCAGACATTAGATTACATCATCATCATACAGATGTGATCAGTCTGGTTTGCTGAGTGAGCTGATGTTTTCTTTTTCAGATGAACAGAATGATCATCAAAACACCCTCTCATATGTCCTGATAAACCCGTCTCCTGACACCCGGCTGGAGCTCAATGACGTCGTGTAAGCATGACTTTGACTTTATATTGCTCCCAACTCACTGAATATAATAATATCTTAATAACTTTATTTGTATAGCACTTTTCTGCTAGTCTAATCTCTTCTGGCAGATTGTTCCAATGTTTAGGGCTGTGTCTCCTTTGTTTTCAGCCTAGACACATATGCAGCTTTCACCTGTTCATATATTTATTATAACTATGTATTTCTCAGCTTTCTCAAAACTGTATTAGTTGTTGATTTTTGAATGTGCAAGCGTTGATCCAAGCAAAACAGTTTGATGCACAAAATGGAAACTAAACTCTGGAGAATATCTGGACATTCTCCAGAGGGTCTTTATGTGTGAATGTCTGAGTGAGAGCTACTGGACTTCCTGCGCACCCCTTGCTACAAAGTCTGAATGAGCCGATGTAAAAAGACAGCAGGCGATTCTCCGGGGCGAGTGCTTAACAAGCAAAAGATACAAAAATGTTGATTTAAAAAAGATAAAAAGATCAAATGAAAAGAAATCTGGATGGATGAAAAAGCGTAGCCACATACATAGAAGACATAAACAAAGTTTTCAAGAGCTTTTGATAGTTATGTCCCGGTTCTGTCTGCTGCACCCCTCGTCTGAATCCTGCGGAGCATTTCTGTGTTGTTGTGAATGCGTATGTGCGGAGAATCCCCTGCAGCATTGTTCACATGTGAAAAGACAAACTCCGGAGAAAGTCTGCACCCAGTTCTGCTGTTACTTTGCAACAGCGCCCTCTGCAGCCACTTAATTCTGTTGGGCTCTGTGTTCGAGTGATTTTCATGTAGAGAAAAGACAAATCATCTCTTGATAGGAGCCAGAAGAGCTGCTGCTGTCAGAAGTGCACCAAACTCTGTTCAGAATTCTTCACATTTTAAAAAGCTCTTGCTGAATGTTGGAGTTAAACGTTTGTAATGAATTCTAAGTCTTTATAACGGATCTACAGTTTGGCTGAATATGCTGCACCGGATTCATATCAGTGAGTTATGCACTTCTCTCTGGAGATGGTTGGGTAACACTCACCAAAGTTACTGAGCAAGAAGAGACGCTGTGAGGAGTGGGAATGAAATAATAATAATGAAACATTTTTAAAGGTCACCTTATAAGGTTTATGTTCATCAGGTGGTGAGGGACAGGACTCTTAATAAATCATAATGTTGCCTCATGGGTAAATAGGAAACTATTTTCTGGCAAATTGGTCTTTAGAGTTTTAAAAGGTGATCATTTATTAGTGCGGTAAAAAGAGAACACAGCCCACCAAATATTTGACAGTGTATTGAGTGAGCAGGGTGCAGTAGCCATGGTGACAGCTAATAATGGAGAGCGGCGAGTTTATTTAGCTCCTCTTCTTCGATGCAGAGTGACCTCAAGGCTGAGTGTGTGACCTCAATGGTGAAGGGTTGGGGGAGTGCAGTGCTCCCACCATTTCTTCGTCTGCACCCCCCCCCAACGCTTTTTTTTTCTCAGGTACCTGATTCGTTCAGACCCTCTGGCCCACGTCCCTGATGAACCCCCCGCCCACAGCAGCAGCCTGAAGGAGACACATGAGACAGGCCTGGACACCAGAGAGGACACGCAGCTCTGATAGCACGCTGACCTTCACCGGTACACTCTCTCCACTTCACCCCCCCGCACTGTTCATGGGGGGGGGGGTCTGGTTGTGTCCACACAGGTCCTGGCTGACAGAGGACAACCTGTGGCATAATGTTTCTGCGCTGCAGTCTACAGCTGTATTATATGAGTGCCTACTATTCGGCAGATGACGGTTTGACGTCATCTGTGACATTTTCATGAGACACAGTATGTAAGAGTGGTCATTTCTGTGAAAGCTCGCTCCAGTGGACAGTCAGGGACGCGCTTGTTCTCAAACGATTTAACTATTTCAGTAAAAACTCTATTTTCGCCAAACAAAAGAATTAAGATCACTGGACAACTCTTTATTGGTTTCACTGTCATTTCTCAAGATAATTAGACCTTTTCTCTTTGATTGTTGCTCCCTCAGAAAAAGTGTAACCTTAACTCCTGAGGTTGCAATTGGATGATTTTCCATCTTATCTTTACTTTTTGAGATGACCAGAAACCACATGAATATATTCTTAACTTACGTTGACAACACTCTTACCTATTTGCCATCAAAACCCTCAACACAATGTGACTTAAATAAAATGTGCATTTAAAGCTTTTATTTGAAGCTTACTTTTGTAGCTAAACTAGAGAAGTAATAGTGGTAGCGTCTACGAACAATGGTTTATATGTTTGCTGTCTGAGGTTGGAAGAGCTTAGTTCAAGCCTTTAACCGTTTCCCGTGCCACATATTCAGTATTGTGCCATAAAGGTTTTAATTTGACTTTGTACTATAGTATATTAGTAATCAGAAAACCTCCTTTCACTTTCAGCACTGCTCAGTGATTTGTGGCTGTGTGGGTGAGATATGTATTTTTAAAATGCTACATCTTGTACACAAGAATTTTGGATTGTGAATTTTTGACTTGGTATATATTTAACTGTTGAAAATATTTGTACATGAGTTTCATTTTATTATAATTTGCACATTAAAGTGCTACAATATGAACAAAGCAAATTGAAATGGTTTTAGTTGTCTAATAATTTAGCCTTTGAATTGATATAACTTCAGTATGGCAATATGGTGGAATAGTTAGTTTAGTTGAGATTTATGCATTAATTAACAGGCTATATCTCCTCTGTTTAATCCTCGTTAGAAAGAATAAACATTAAATGAGGAAGTAAACCTGTCTACAAAACACCAGAGTTAATGTCAAATGTTTTTGCCTTCATTAATCATTTATGAATCTGCAAGTTTATTGAAATTAAACTACAGGAATTCAACTGACTTCCAAAAGGATGTCTTGTTTTCACCCTGTCTCTTGTCTGTTTCATTTTTAGCAGGATTACACAAAAACCGATTTCCATGATATTTTGTGGAGGGGTGGGGGGGTACGACCCAAGGAAGAACCCATTAAATCTCGGTGCAGATCCAGGAATATATTTTCACTTTCTTGAACAATTTATGGATCTTGATTTTAAAAAAATCAGACATATTCAGGGGACTGATGTTGTGTGAGTGATTGTGTGAAATTTGCTGCAGATCCAAATTTAAACATTGATCTAGTGAATTTAAATGTGGTTTCATAAGGGGACTGTTGGGCCTTGGCAGAGGTATGATCACCACTGAATGTCATTCTAGGTTAATGTAATTATGTCAGAAGAGACCATATGTCACCAATCTGAGGTCGTGCACAAACCTTCCCCTTGGATATAGAATAAAAACAGAAACATTGATTATAAATCAACCACTGGTAAATTCTAATGCCACTATTTCTTCATATATATCACTGCAGTCGTGAGTTTTGCTGTGGTGAGTAATCACATAATACTCAAAAAAGTCTCATCAGCAACATTTCTCCCAACATTCTCTGGATTATTCAGGTACAGTACTGCTACTGGGTTTTTGGTGCCATTATGCCTCAAATTCTTTTTTTAAGACTGCAAGTTTTTTACTTCATCAAGAAGGTTCTGGTTAAGCTTCCTGACCAATGTATATTGCCACAAGTTTTTGATGCTTCTCAAAATTCTTAGAGATCATTCTTAAACCATGTGCTGTCAGAAACAGAGAGCAGCAGGACCCAAATGCAGGAACCACAGATTCAAGTGGCAAAACACAAGGAAAAGGAACATGATGTAAAAACAGGACTCCAGAAAAACTAAAATCAAAACTCAACATGCAAGGAAACACTAGGGAAACAGGAAAAAGCAACAAAGCACAAGGGATACAAGCAAGATCACAAGCGAAAGAGGACAAATGGAAGCACAGAGACTGATATACACCAGGAGGGATTATTGAACACAGGTGAAACACATGAGGAACAGGTGCAGACGATCACAGGGGCGGGAAACAGGACAAAGACAGGAAGTTAAGCTACAGACACACAAGGAACTTCATTTCCAAATAAAACAGGAAGTGGAGAACTCGGGGGGAGACAACTGAACATAAATGTAAACACAAGGAAACACAGGTAAAAGTCATAAAACTGAACCAAAATATTCTTTCATGCTTAAAAAGTTCAGAGCCACAATGTCAGAATCATGACATGCCTGATTTAGCCTGGGCTTGTCAGCTTACCCAGCATGCCGCATTGGAAATCCAAAGAGAAATCACAGCTGGTAGAATGATAATGAAAACCACGACTTTACCCAAAGTGAGCTACAGGTACCAGGGAGGAGTGAACAGAGTGTACCAGAACATCAATCTGCAGCAGACGTGACACACAGGCAATAAAGGCAGAACACTTAAAACATTCAGAGAGGAAATCTGAGTCATAGCTCAATCAAATCTGGGCAGAGACACAATTCACGTCATTATAGATTCACTGAATTTGAAGTGCCTCAAAGTAGGTATGCTCTGTGGGGACTTTAAATGTTTAGTGTCACATTGACACGGACAAAAACATATTAAATTACCTTTCATAAAAACACTATTTAGTCTTTATCATCCAGAGGAGAGAGCGAAATGACAGCAGCAGAGAAACAGAGTGACAAGAAGAGGAGTGAAACAGGAAGTCAGGTGACACAGAAAAAGTTAGACCTCCATAGATTTATCAATTGGCTGATGATATCGGCAGATAATAGCTAAACTCAAAACTACCCATGTTTACATTTTCCGTAAGAAATATGTTTATCCTCTTAATTGAAGTGCTTTATATTTGGTTGTTTTTGTGTCTGTGTTTATTTTTTTGTAAATATATCAGCCGAATATATTGGTATTGTAAATGTTTTTTACCCTCTGACCAAGAAAGAATAGTGGACTGGTGAGTAACAGATGAACATAGTGGAAACATAAACCACCACAACTTTAGCAATAAACCGTAGCTAGTTGCACTTTATTATATTTCTTCAAAATAAATAAACAACGTAACACAATGAAATAAGTCTGATAACATCTCTGATAACAGCCTGTGACAGAATAAACCTCAAAATAGTGCCTGCTTTTTAGTAAACATAACTTGTACGTAAAGTACAAAAAATACTACTCAAAAATGTACAAATGCAGCAAACAAATATCAAGTATTGTGCAATTGACCCCCCCAACATTATACCAGCCGCTGACAGTCATTACAGGGATATTACTAGTGTACAATGCCAGAAGCTACATTAAAATATAATGCTCACCAGAGTCCCTCAGTGGCATAGCTCAGTTTATTTTGGTTCAGCAATACGAGCCTGTCAGGGATCTCAGATGGCTCGTATGGGTACGGATACTGTATATAATGCACTACTGATGAAGTATAATGCACTGAGTCTGGAAAGAGCTTCCTGTTTGGAATAAATACTGGTACGATATACCTTCCTTTCGAAAACATTATCTCTCCTCCACAAAAACGTAACAGCAGGTCCACAACAGAAAAAATAAATTGTTTTGTTGCTTTGCTCCATCGTTCTGTTTCATGACAGGTTTAAAGCATAAATAAGAGTAAACATTCAGAGCTGGATGCACAGGCGTCATTGCTTTCAGCGCCCCCCCCCCCACTTCCCTAACACAAATACTCACACACTTCTTCAAACACACTAAAATAGAAAACAACACTGGACATGACCACTCACTAACATCCGTCCCATACTTACATAAAAAAGTTTCTTTACTTTCAGAAAAGCACTGACCAGTAGAAGTTACCGGTGGATAAACAGGAGCTCTGCATGTCGAGCCTGGATTCATAATAATCACAGCAGTAGGGTAAATTTTTTTGCCGAGCTGAAATAGCAAACGTTTATATATTATCGAGTGATTGTTCACCACTGCCTGTCTGTAGTCACACTTGGTATCAGCGTGTATAAGCTATTGTCAGTAGTATTCGGTAGTGTTCAACTCAGGGGTCCATTTTCTCTTCGCTGCTACATAAGAATCCATCATCAAATCTGCCTAGTCACTGTAGGACGTACCAATAAATCAAAACATGTGACATGCAGGAGAAAACAAAAAAAAGAATGAAAGAGTGCATTCAATTGGCAGGTGGTTCACACTCTTGCACTGCCACACAATGACATCTATGCCCTCCATCTAACATGATCGCATCTCAATCATCTCCAGGATTATTGGGTCCTGCCCAACACTAGTACATAAACAGAAAGTGGAAAAAGGGCTTCTTATCCTTCTCACTTCCTTCGTGCGCTCCCTGGTCTCTTGACCTGCCAGAGGTGATTGTGGATAGTCAGAGCATCAACACTGACCGACACGCTCTTTGTGGGAATGGCAGTGAACTGCTTGCGATCAGAGCTGTACTTATAGACTTTGTCAATCATCTTCCGGCTGATGGTGCGCGGCCCGGTGCCCGTGAACTTGACAATCTCCTCTGTGTCTGGGGAGTATGAGTAAATGGCGCGGAACTGGCACCCGCCGTCACGGAAGAGGATGATGAGGTGGTTGGCCTCGCACTTTTCAAGCTCCTGTGAAACAGACATAAGACTTAATTCAGCACATCACATCGAACAGGAAGAAAAAATATACAAACCTACTAAAGTTTACGAACAGCTATAACAATTCAACTTCAGGTGATGACACTGACCTCCAGAATAACATTCTTCTGGCCCTCATTAACCTTCCCAGCCAGGCAGCAGTGAGCGATGGCATTGATGATGATTGGCTTGTTGGACTTAGAGCTCGGCTCCTTGAAGAGTTTAGGACCTTTTAGAAACAAAACAGAGAGAAATGTATATAGGTCAGTCTGTAGGTGTTTCAAGGACTTGTTTAAGAAATAAATCTACTTGCTTTCTTGTCAAGAGATGAGAAGATTGACACCACATATCCCATATCTGAACTCAAAGGACATTACTATATGTATGACAAAAGTTTGCAAGTCCGAAAGGTTCTGCACTAGTAGCTTGGTAGCGTCGATAAGACAAAGGTCCAGGCAGCCAGAAAAGTTTCCAGGGCATATCCCAAAATTGAAACTCTTATGCACAAATAATTCCTAGGTGACAATAAATCAAAAGCTTCTTCTACATCTCTGCTCACCGTTGTACTCGGTGGACATGATGGAAGAGGCTATGGAGCCGTTCTCCCAGTCCCTCTCCATGTTCCTGCTGGACGCTCTGCTCAGCATAGGGAATGACTCCACAGAGCAAACAGAACCAGCCCTGAAGCACAAACATACAGGTCAATCAAATTATGATAAGCAGAATGGAAGAGACTATCGTCTCTTGACTTTACACACAACTTGGGAATCCTCACCTCTGAGACTCTGCCCCTCCGGATATCACACTGTCTGTCTCTGTTGCCAAAGAGAGCGTCGATCCTCGATGACTGCAGCTCAGATCAGCTGAAAATGACAGATAGACTTAGTACCTAATTGTTGTTTGCCCAATTACCCCACTGTTCTATTTCCATATGCAAGCAGGAACCCAAACAAATAATTTAAAGTTACTCTAAATACTAACACCCTACA